CACGGGTGGCACGGGGTGGGCACCCGGCACGGCACAGCTCGGCACGGCACGGCTCTGCTCCGGCTGTGGAGCAGGAATGGCCGTGCTGCAGGTCGCTGTCCCCTCCCCACAGCTCAGGGCTGGCCTCTGGCCATTTTGTCCCCATCTGTGTCGCCGTTCYCTTGGCAGGGGCTGCTGCGGGAGGGACGGGGATGGGACCAGCAGGGACGAGTAAAAGCAGCTCCCGGGACAGCTCCGGCCACACCCGGAGCAGATCGGGGTGCAGACCGGGGTGTCTCGGTGTGTGCCCGGCTCCCCGCCCGGTGACATGCCACGGCGACATTCCTGCTGCTGTTTACACCAGGCCACGTGTCCCCGTGGCTCATCAGTGCCCCAAATCCCCATGGCCCCATTCCCTGTGTCCCCCATGTCCGTCCATCCATCCCTCTGTCCCCACGTCCATCGGTCCCACTGTGCCTGTGTCTCCCATGTCCATCCATCCATCGATGCCCCTGTCCCCATATCCCTCATGTTCCAGTGTCCCATGGGACACATGTTCCAGTGTCCCATTTTCCAGTATCCCTTGTGCCCTGTGTCCCCATGTCCATCCATCCCTATCCCTGTGTCCCCCAAGTCCCCACGTCCCTATTTCCACTGTGCCCTGTGTCCCCATAGCCATGTGTCCCCCACATCCATCCGTATCCCCATATCCAGCCATCCCACTCTCCCTTTGTCCTTCTAGCCTTTATGTCCCTTTATCCAATATCCCCTGTGTCCCCATATCCCTGTGTCACTTTGTCCCTTGTGTCCATCTCTCCCTGTGTCCCCCCTTTCCTTATTTCCCCATGCCCCTATTATCCCATCCCCTTATATCCCTTCTGTCCCCATTTAGGTGTTTCTCTGTGGTCCTCACGGCTCTCATCCCTCCCTCCTGTCCCCACAAATGTCCCCCCGTTGTCGCTTTGTCCCCGCAGGGGTCACCGGGGGACACCGGACCCCACCGAGCTGCAGTTCCGCCGAGGAGCCTCCAGCACAGGGGGCGCCACGGAGCGGCTGAGCCGCTCTGCCCCGCGGCGCTGCAGCTCTATGGCACCTTCGGAACGAACCAAACCGGGGAGAGGGGAATCCTCAAACTCGGAACGGCGATTCCGCTCCCGGCGATGCCTCGCGGCCGGGAACRGCACCGAASKGGYRCGGTGTTAACKGARTAAAGTTCAGAGTGATAAAAYACACTGTAGTTATGASGAAAAGMGCCACTACGRCGGCCGGTRGTRTGTTGAGACCCCCTGCTCAGATGGKATGATCCACTTCCCTCCTCCGTGCCGTCAGATGGTCGGGCCCGGGCGGTGAGTGCGGACCGGAGCTGGGYCGGGATCGGGACCGGGACCGCGACCCGGGGCGGGGGTGAGGGGGTCCGGGGACCGAGCGGGGTCCGGGGCGCCGAGGGGGAAGGGACCGGGAGGCGCTCCGGGAGAGACTGAGGTGGGCTCGGGCCGGGATCTCTGGATCTGTGTGGTGTGTTGGGGGGGCTCGGACCGGCACCGCTGTGAGGGGACCGGGACACCGGGGTCCGTGTGGGGTGTTGGGTTCCTCTGGGGTTGGGGAACTCTTACCAGGATTGTGATGAGGGGGAAGCCACGCTGGGACACCTCAGAGGGGACCAGAGCGGGATATTTGGGTTCTTGTGGAGTTATGGGGGCCCTGTGGGGCACCCAGACCTGGACATTCCTGAGCTTCT